CAGTACATATCTAACCATAAACCTAACCATTACCAGCACATATCTAACCGTAAACCTAACCATTACCAGTACATATCTAACTGTAAACCTAACCATTACCAGTACATATCTAACCATAAACCTAATCATTACCAGTACATATCTAACTGTAAACCTAACAATTACCAGTACATACCTAACCGTAAACCTAACCCATCCTCATTTCCCACCTCAGTCCTAAACCTAACCCTTAACCCACCAATGACACTTGTTCTTATTGGGCCCCATAAGGAGAAGCTGGTCCTCACATTGTAGCATAAGTTGGAAAAATAGGCCTTACACGGTAACCCCCCCCCACACACACACACACACACACACAAACCAAAAAAACTAATTTGTAGAGACCGCAGTCAGGTCTCTGAAGAAAAGTAAATCCATTTAGCTATCTACAGCTAGGTTCAAACGAGGCTATGAAGAACTCACCGACCTGATAGTGTTGTGCAAAAGTCTTGAACCAATTAAATATTTGCTTACTGGTTTTCAGTTGGTCCTTTCACTTAACCATTATAGCAGAACTTTATAAAGCCTTTTGAACTCATATATAAACCATTCAAGCACTGATAAACAGTAAATTATAAAGTGGAGGTTTAAGTATTTCTCAGGTCATCTGTCAGGTCTTTGCTGGAATATAGTCAATTTTTTTTAAAGAACATTCCTTTCACTTCATCTGCTTTAGTTTAAACCATTTGTTTTGCTCACTTGTTCAAAGACAAACTTCACATCATGCCAAGATGTGTAGTCAAGATTTAAGCTAAAAGCTCTTGGGAAATGTGAAACAAACATTTAGTGAAAAAACATTTTATGTTTGTCAAATTGTATCACAACAGAGTTACAACTTTTACATCTGTGCACTTACGATTTTTTAAAATTAGAGGGTAAAAAGTAGTTTCTTTTGTAAAGCCTTTCTGTACAACCAGTAGTTGAATGTTAGTCCAGGGAAATGGCTACCTTTGTTCAATAGTACAACAGTAGCATCACAGCCATCGTCCACTTCACTGTTAGCTGCACCATTCTTCAGACCGGATGAGTTTTTCTTCCACCTCTCCAGAAAATGAACAATGTAACAGTTCAGCCTGAAACAGAAGGTAGATAACAACATATTTCCAGACCTGAGGAGTTTTGTCATGGTGCAGGTGAAGTCTATATATTTTGTATATGTACAAAATAACAAACGTTGGTTACGTACTGTAACCCCAGATTCTATGAGTATAAGCGTAGCCCTTTAAGGCCTTTGCTTTAGTGGGTTTATCCCGTTATGCAGAGCATAAGCACTGAAAAAATTAGTCCACGCCCACCTGCTGTGTGGGCCCCACCCGGTCCGTATAAATTACGTTAAGAGCGGGAAATCGGCTCCCAAAATAGCTTTTTCTTCAGCCATTTAAGAGCCAGTGAGGCCCGACGCTTAAAGGGCTACGCTTATACTCATAGAATCTGGGGTTACAGTACGTAACCAACGTTCTATGTCGTATAAGCTTCGCCCTTTAAGGCCTTCGCTTTAGTGGGTAAAGGGCGAAGCCGATGTGGTCCTCGCCTCACTGGGTCCATTCGAACACAGTAAGAAGCGGAAGCTTGCCCAAAAAAACGTCTTGTCACTCAGCTCCCCGTGTGCATAACTACGCATCGCGTAATTATGTGCCATGCACAGACGCATGTTGAGTAACTATGCGTTCTGACAAAGCATGAATGCCCCGGAAAACTTTCAACGGGAAGAAGAAGTTGAAAAGAGGGGGGGGGGGGCATGAACCAACTGGTTCATGGCTGAACAGTATAAACAGATTAATGTCCATGAATTGATTATTGATCAAATGAACTGATTGGTAACAATAGTCATGAACTGATTAGTGACAATAGAACCAAAATCACAGACACGACTTGTGACTGATAACAACATCTCACACTGTAATGCATGCAGACAGAAGTGAGCTTAAACAGAGTTCCATGAGAACAACAATATTCATTCTGTTAGAGCACTAAGGACAGAATGTGTCATGGAACGAGCCGTTACATCACGTAGGTAAAAGCGAATAAATGAGCAGGGTGTTGACCATGCAGCCGCAGTGCAAATGTCCTGCATTGACATACCATTATGCAGAGCAGTCGAAGATGCGATACCCCTGGTCGAGTGTGCTTAGAGGTTGACAGGAGGCCCTAAATCTGATGCTCTGTAGGCTTCAGAAAAAACCTCACACAGCCAGTGTGACAAGCGCTGGATGGATAACGGCGACCTGCAGAAGCATCTCTATAATGCACAAACAATTGTTGAGTTTGAAACGCATTGCAGCTGTGCGCGTCATGTAACACGTCAACGCCCGCACCGGGCAGAGAAGATGAAAAGATGCTTCCTCTTCTGATCTGTGGGGGGGAAAGAGACCCCTCCAACGATATCACTCTTGATTTAAAAGAGCTCGTGATGTTTTAGGCATAAAAGCTGGGTTGGTCTTAAATCAGCTGAGCTGCCCGTCAGCCTAAATTCTAAGGCATGACGAAGCAACAGAGAGGGCAGATAATTACTTACCCTCTTAGCGGGTGTTAAAACCAGCAGCAGGGCTGTTTAAAGAGACAAGAATTCTAAGTGAAAACCTGATCCAGAGGTTCAATTGGAGCTTTGATCAGGGCTCGCAGGACCAGCGTTAAATCCCACTGTGGAGCAAGTGGACGTGAAGCAGGCCTGTGTCTCTGAACATCTTTTAGAAAAACGCTTCATCAGCGGGTGATTAAAAGCTGTTCTGTCTCCGAAACCTTCGTGGCAGGAATAGATGACTGCAACGTACGTTAAAGCGTACTGAATGCCAACTCCCTATCCATCAGCTGTTGTAGAGAAAACAGCACGCCGCCTAAAAGGCATGAGGTGGCCTCTAAACCTTCTCTGTACACCAGCGCTGAAAAGCCGTCCCCTTGATGTGTGCAGAACTGTGGTGGATGCAGCACATGAATCTTGAATTGTGCACACCATCTCCTGAGGGAGACCCATCCTCTAAGTGGGACCGCTCAGCGGTCAGACCCACAGGTGTTGACCTATTTCTGGGTAACTCTTGGTCGCTCCTCCTGCCTGAAGGAGAGCATCCTCCCTCCACGGCAGTTTCCACGGCGACCCGACAACAGACGTTGCAGGCCTGGGAACCATGGTGTGTTCACACGCCGGGAGCCACCAGGAGAGCTGTCAATCCCTCCTCCTGAACTCGGTTCAGGAACCGTAAAAAACAGAGGAGGTGGGGGAAAAAAACGTGTACAAAAGCGTTTTGGGCCACGGGCTGTGAGCAAATGCGTCCCCCCCCCAGCGATGGATCGTCTCGCGGGCTCAGGGAAAACCATAGTTGACACTGAGCGTTCTTCTCGCGTCGCAAACAGGTCCACAGCTGCTTTGCCAACTTCTGCTGCATCTGAAAACATCAGATCTGGATGGAGGGTCCTGTCCACGTGACGTGGGCCGCCCCTGGACGTCACATCTGCCCCTCTGTTCAGAACACCAGATATATAAACCGCTCTAATAGAGAGCAGGTTTTGAGGAGCCCAACACAGTAGCTTTCACGCAATGTGTAACATCTGGGCTGAACGCACACCCTTGATGGTTATGTACGCAGCAGTCATCATGTTGTCTGTGTGAATCAACACGTGTTGATTCTGTAGCACGGGAGCAAAGTGTTGAATCATATTCAGTGCTGTGTGACACTCCAAAAACATTGATGTGGGCTGATGTGTAGTGGGGCCACAGCGCCCCTACTGCTTGAGATACGCATGTCCCCCCCCCCCCCCCAGCCTGACAGCAACGTGTCCGTGAAGACTGACCCGTGACGTGGGTCTGCTGAGGGGGACTCCCTCTGACGGAAAACAAGGTGTTTCCCCAGAGTCGGAAGGTCTGCTTCCACAGAGGAAGGGACAATGATCATCCGTCGTTTTGTTTTACTGGATCCACATGCAGACGTGCAAAACCACCTCTGGAGGCGTCTCATGTGAAACAAACCAGCGGAACCACTGTTTGAGTGACATCATTTCCAACAGCTTCATGACGGAGACAGCTGTTATCACTTGCCAGGTCTTACGTGGCTGAGTTGACTTTAAAAGAGTGTCGAATCTAGTTTATGATAAACGAGCTTTCATGGTGGTTGAATTTAATTCCACTCCCAGAAAACAAATGTCTGGGCCGGGAAAATCGAACTTCCTTCCAATTTATGGCGAAGCCCAGATTTAACAGGTGTGATGTCAACACCTGATCCTGCATCAGCGCCTCCTGTCTGAAGTGACAGGAGCAGCAGATCATCCAGGTAAAACAAAAACTCTCGTCTCTGTGTTAGGATGATCGGTATGCGTTCTCTGGATGTTAACAACAGATCCAAAAAACGGTCTCACCCCTCCGATCCGTGAGTAAAAACCTTGTGTTTTCTCTCCGTTGGGGGACTCTGTAGATTACTTTTATCAGAAACACTTGGATTTCTGCATTTAGGGATGAGATTTAGTCTGATGATGACGGGACCGTTTTTTTTTTTTAACTCCTCTGAATGGAGGGGTTCGGGTTGCAAACTGTAACTTGTACCATTTGCATAAAACCTTGTCCATCCATCCGAAAAACGGCGAGCATGTTTTAGCCACTCTACGTAACGTTCGTAGGGTGAACGTGCGTTAAGTGATGTGTCATGTTTTGTACGGCTGTCAGCAGTCCGCCCCTCAACCGCCGTCATGCGTCGCGGGAATGTTTTCTGTGTGATCCCGGGCGAGACTTGAGCTGAGGCGAAGCGTGTGACAGCTGATGACGCGGTGGGGCTGCGCGTTTGACGTCGCTGTGCGAACGTTGAAAAGGCGGAGGGCGTGACTTCATTAACGCCGTGCTGTTGGAGTGAAGGCTGCTAGCCCCACGGGAGCACACGTTTTTCTCTGGAGGGACGCGCGCCGCTCTCGCTGGAGGGGCGCGCGCTGGAGGGAGGCGGGACTCATTACCGGGTTCTTTCAGCTGCTTCACGTTTGAGCTGCGGTGAGCTGCTGAAAACTGAGACGCGGTGGGTGACGGCTGCCCGCGTTTGATTCGTTGAGACGGGTGTCGCTTCTTGAGAGAGAAGGACCTCCACCCGAACCAGCCTGCGGACCACATTTATACCGATGTGAGCTGGTTAGCGCCGGCAGCTGTGTGTGTGCGCCAGCATGAACGCAGCGCCGTTTGGATGGAGGCTGTTCATTTTAGTGATCGACTCGTCATGTCTAGAGCGGCGGTGAGTTAACAACCTTATTAAGGACACCGGCTCATGTGGAGGCTGTTCCATCCCACGAGTGCGAGTTGACACCGCTTGAGTGAGGATCGTGCAGTTCTAGTTGGTAACGAGTTATTTTCGCTTACCGTTGTGCCGTGATTGACTCGTCATGTCTAGAGCGACGGTGAGTTTAAAAACCTTTAATTAAGGACACCGGCTCGTGTGTGGGGCTGTTCCATCCCACGGGTACGAGTTGACATCGCTTGGGTGAAAATCGTGCAGCCCGGGATTATAACGAGTTATTTTCACTTACCATCGTGCCCTGTAAGCGACTAGTAATGTCTTGGAGCGGCGGTGAGTTTAAAAACCCTTATTAAGGACACCGGCTCTTATGTGTGCGGCCGCTGTGAGCTCATCCGAGCTTACAGACTGGCTAAAAAACAGACACTTTGATCATTAATGATGATTTATTTCAACTTTCGTGTCACTTTTACACACACCCTCCGGAGACCGTCATTTTGAGAAACTTCTCTCTCATGAGCTCTGCGATTGTTTGCCCAGAGCGCTGTCTTGCAGGCGAACTCTGGGGAAACGCTGAGCTGCAGGCTGCCGGAGTGAAGAGGGCTGGATTCTGACGGGCAGGGCTGGTGGTGGAACTCAGCGAGAGCCGCGGCCGTGGAAAAGTCGAAGCTTGCTCGCGACGGTCCCTCCAGCGGGACGGGGTGGGCCGCGCGGCTTGATGAGGTGGCGCACAGCCTCTGGCACCTCCTCCGACTTTCACTTCGCCAGCATGGTTTGAAGCTGCTCTGAACAGCGCGTCCGCGATGGGCTTCATCAGGTCTTGTGCAGATTCTCCGGCAGCGAGGGGAGTAACGAAGCCAGGTGGGTCGATGGATCATCGTCATCCGCGCTGCAGTCCTCGACAGGCAAACCGTGGGAGAGGCACATATGTTGAGCTGGCGTCAGCTGCCTTACAGAGGGAGTTCTTTGTCTCCAAGGCAGGTCTGCGGCCTTCAGTCCCTTGGACATGCTATATGCTAGCAGCGCACGTTGTTGCTAACTGCGGCTGCCTGAAAACACATTGGTGGGCTCGATTTGAGAGCGTGGTTGCCGTCTGGTTCGTGTTCCTCCGGAGGGACGGGACGCTGCTCCGACCTGGGCAGCTTCGCTCCGGAAGCTTCCGCGAGGCTTGGCTCCAGGGGGGGTTACCGAGGAATAGCCCCGCTCGGTGAATCCCTCAACTCTGGTGATGGGAGCGGACTGGGGACCGACTCCTCTAATCTACCAGGAAAGAACTGTCTGCGGCCTCGCCCGTGGAACGTCCTGTTGGAACGTGAGGCCGTATGGATCAAGACGGTGAGCCATAGTGGAGCCCAGTGAAAAATAACCTTTCCGCCGATCATCCGAACTGGCGGGAAAAGGCGAGGGACGTAGAAAAAAGGGGGTCCCTTCATGTCAGCCTCCTCCTGGGTTCCGCCGGGCAACCCCTGAGGGCGCTGTCGGCCGGGAGCGGTGTGATCGCCGATGCGAAACGAGGTGGGATGGGGTGAGCATTCACTCAGCCCCCCTCCACCTACACTACGCTCCCCAGGAGGGAATGAGCAGCGGGGGCTGCAGCTGAGCACACCTTGCCCCGGAGGAACCATCCGGTTCGCCCCGAGGGTCGGCGATAAGAGGAAAAAACACAAGATGGCGTTGTCCAGCGTGTAGTGACCTGTCACTGGGAAATGTTCCCCGACGCTTACCTTGGAATAAGACTGCTGTCATCTTCTCCTCGGGGAGGAGAACTCACCGGACGACCGGAGGTCGACTGCCGGGCCAAGCATCCTTCACAAAGGTTGGTCATTTACACAATTTATCCTCTTTGTTCTTCTGACAGTGCTATATTAGCTCGCTGAAGAAAAAATGGGAGCCGATTTCCCGCTCTTAACGTAATTTATACGGACCGGGTGGGGCCCACACAGCAGGTGGGCGTGGACTAATTTTTTCAGTGCTTATGCTCTGCATAACGGGATAAACCCACTAAAGCGAAGGCCTTAAAGGGCGAAGCTTATACGACATAGAACTAAAATAACAAGTACATGTCTGAGTGGAAGTTTAATTGCATCAAACCTTGCTGTTTCTCACAGCGATGCCTTTTTTCACAAAAGATTGTAAGATTAATGAATTACAAAGACGATAAAACCCATTTGAATAACAGATGCATACAACACTAAGTCTCATTTTCTTGCTGTAATCGTATTTTGAAAAAAAAAAGTATATTATAATATATGCATATTTGGAAGCACAACTGCTTTGTGATCACAGCAAGAAAGTCCTGGGTTCAATCCCTGGGCTGGACTTGAGATCTTTCTCTGTTCATTTTGTATGCTCTCTCTGTGCAAGTATGGGTTTACTCTGGGTACTCCAGTTTCCTCCCACAGACCAAAAACTTTCAAGTTAGGCTGATTGGTAACTAAATTGTCCCTAGGTGTGAGTGAGACATTGAATGGTTAGTTGTCTCATTTATCTCTATGTGTCCCTGTGATGGACTGAAGACCTGTCCAGGGTGACTCCCGCCTCATACACAGTGACTGCTGGATATGGACACCAGTGACCCCCATGTCCCAAAAAAGAAGAAGCGGGTAAAGATAATGGTTGGATGGATGAATAAAATATTTTTGTTTTGGTTGTACACTTTACCGGGGCCGCCACAGTGAGTCATCTTCCATCTAACTCTGTCCTCTGCATCCTCTGTCCTTACTCCAACTACCCCATGTCCTCCCTAACTGCATCTACAGGTATATATCTCTTCTTCAGCCATCCTCTGTCTTTTTCATGGCAGGTGCATTTCTACCATCCTTCTAACAATATACCCACTGTCCCTCCTCACTGTTCCACCTGTCTCCTGATCATTGATACAGTTCCATCTCCACCTTGAAGCTATCTCTCACACCAAGCACACATCTCACTACTGTCCTGCTGTCCTCATACATGTCCTGTACCAGTTTAGCATGTCTTGATGTCCCATAAATGTCCTGCTGTTCTCATATATGTCCTGTACCAGTCCAACATACTTCTCTGCCACTTCAGATTTCCTCATGCAATACCATACTTCCTTCCTCAGCACACTGTCATATGCTTTTTCTAAATCCACAAAGATGCAATAGAGTTCTTTCGGACCCTCTCTGTACTTCTCTGTTAGCATCCTCATAGCAAAGAAGGAATCTGTGGTGCTTTTTCTTGGCATGAAACCATAATGCTGCTCACACATTGTCACCTCCCGTCTAAGTCTATCTTTCACAACTCTCCCAAATCTTCACCGTCTGACTCATCAACTTAATTCCCCTGTAGTTGCTACAACTCTGTACATCACCCTTGTTCTTAAAAATGGGCACCAGCACACTTCTTCTCCATTCCTCAGGCATTTTCTCATTTTCACAACAGCCCTTGAATAACTGAATTTTAAACCTCACTGGGTTCTCTCCTAGATATTTCCAAACCTCCACTGGTATGTCATCAGGTCCTACTGCCTTTCGATTCTTCATTCTCTTTAAAGCTTTAAAAAATTCCATACTCACTAATCTTTCTCACTTCCTGGCCCACAGTTCCTATGGCCTTTACTTTCCTTTTTCTTTAATTCTCTTCAGTCATTAGCTCCTGAACATCCTCCTTCCATCACCACAAGGGCAGCTGTGGTTGAGTGGTTAGAGCAGTCGTCCTCCAATGCAAGAGTTGGGGATTGAATCCACCTGGAGTCACATGCTTAAATGTCCCTGGGCAAGACACTGAACCCCTCGTTGCCTCTGATGCATGTCCCATCAGTGCATGAATGTGATAAAGCTCTGATTAGTCTCTTTAGAATTATTTGTTCAATTAGCTTTGTAGAGATCTAGCAGACTGCTGCATGAATGGGTAAATGAGGGCACAGATTGTAGTGTAAAGAGCTTAGAGTTTTTCGATAAGATAGAAAGATGCTATATAAATACAGTCCATTTATCTTCCCATCACAATCTCCTCACGTGTTAGAACATTGCCATTCCTATCTTTAACAAGTTGAACCTATTGCACATCCTTTCTAACCTGATCCTGCTGTCTCGCCAGTCTATACTTTACAAGTCCTTTTTTCTTTTTTAGTGTACCAACTCCTGTCCTCCATGCATTTTGAGGAGCTTTAGATATTTTTATGTCAGTGAGTTCAATCTCCTCCTTTAGTAAAAAAAACGTTGATTTTTGTGTGCATCTTTTCACATCAAGTGAAAATAATGTCATTTTTCTTCTACATCTGCACATCTTCATGTAGCCTTAATATGGAAGTAATCACCAGGTATGCACTTTCTAATTCCATTATAGGGGATATACTATGATCACATGTAGTCACTCAACAGGGTTTGAGGAAAACTAGTTTTAGTTTTTATATAAAATAAAATAAACTTCCTGTAACTAGTTGCTACAAACTTGACATCATATTTACAGTTAGGAGACATAAATCCACTGGCTGTAATTTTCATGGCAAGGCAATTTACCTAAAAATATTATTAACAATTTAATGATAAATGTGCAATACATATTTTGGCATTTACATGCACAAATGCACTTACGCAGGTGCATGCGCCAGTGGTGCAGCTTCGCCGCTGTCGCAGAAAAGGGGCATCAAAGACAAAAAGTTGTGACTCACTGACCCAACATACTGTATATCTAACTGAACATGCCAACCTGTAATAAATATCCATTAGTTTTTGTTCCAGTGGAACAAAAGATTGTTCAGAGTGTTTCTAGAACAACAGAGTTCTGATTTTCTGGCATTGCTTTTAAACGAGTAATTCATCCATCTATCCATCCATTTTATTCCGCTTTTCTGGGGTCGGGTCGTGGGGGTAGCAGCTTAAGTAGGGAGGCACAGACTTCCCTCTCCCAAGCCACTTGGACCAGCTCCTCCAGGGGAATCCCGAGGCATTCCCAGGCCAGCTGAGAAACATAGTCCCTCCAGCGTGTCCTGGGTCTTCCTCTGGGTCTTCTCCCAGTGGGACATGTCCAGAACACCTCACCAGGAAGGCATCCAGGAGGCATCCTAACCAGATGCCCGAAAAGTTCATCAAGATATTTTCTATGTTTTAGTGTGAAACAAAAATAACAGTTAGCGATGCATTTAAACAGTTTTAAAAAGGACCTGTTCATAGTAGAATTTTCCCTTTTTTGTTTAAAAAATGTATCATTTTTTAAATGCACAGTTTGGATTTTGTATGAAGAAATCTTTTTGGAGGGTATTTTAAACAGAGATCAAAGATTGTTCATTAGAGTGTGTTTGATGTATTATACTTACTTCATGATCAAAATGTAGACAAAATACATCAGAATCAGTGTGAGAGCTTCCCACCTGAAAAATACAGTCATGTGTTTCTGTCATTTTCAGTTGCCAGAAAGAAATTAAAGTAAGGGTCAATAAATCTAAGGACACGGTTGAAATAATCAGTACTTCACTTACCAAACCACTTTTTCATCATAAATGAACTGTGATGTGGAGGAAAGAAGGAAAATCCTCAAATTAAATGATATTTTAACTTTACGCAGACGTTCTGATCATACTTGGTACAAGAAGGCAAAAATCACATCTGGGCAAGAAAGTAGTGATTGTTAAGAAAGGGGGAATATTTCTCCATCCCAGAGGTGTTCTTGTGGATCTTTAAAGTATCTGTATAATTATTTTATATGCTACTTACTACAATAAGAGCAGAAATAGAAAGGGTGTAGTAGACAGAGTCTCTGAGCAGAGGCCAGCAGGACAGTCGGATGTTCTAAGACAGAGACAAAGAAACAATAATTAACTTGCAGACAGTGAACTAGATTTGTTTTCCTGTTGGGAAACACATTCCTCACTGCCCTGAATTATCTACAGGCTCTAAATGTGTGTGGTTTGATAATATGCATTTAATCAAAGTACAAGAAGAATAGAAAACCTTCAGGTCTGTGTCCTTGTTTCTCCCTGTATTACAGCAAAGATAATACTTGTTTAAAGTAGATGCTGTATGTAGAGAACCACCATTATTATCAGTAACTCTTAGTCTTGGCTCTGCCCTTAGCGGTCTCTCATGGTTGGGGAAGAATTTGGGACCACTCATCTTTCCATCATTGCTTTGCAGACATTTGTTTCTCCTTGCTCTCTTAAGGTCCCCCACAGCATTTTAAACAGGTCTAGGTCTGGACTCTAATTTGTTTGCAGCTCCTTTTCATTTATAGCATTTTTGTTGTTGCTGCTATGTTTGGGATCATTACATTGTTTCGTCATGACAGTCTGTTCCAAGCTTCAGCTGTTTCACAGATGGCCTCACATTTGGCTCTACAATCTTTTGGTCTACAGTTTGTGATTTACTGAAAGACTGCAAGGTGCCCAGGCTATGTGGAGGCAAAACAAGCCTGTCATCAGCCTAGCTTAGTATGGCTTTTGCACCCCTCTCCCCCTGGCTTCTCCTGTCTTAACTTGCTTTATGTGTCAATGATTTACTTATTCTGAATTTTTCTGCAATAACTGTACAGGTATAAGCAAATTCTACCTGAATATGCTAGATTGAGCCAAATGTAAACACAGTAAGATTGTCATGCATGTGGATGATAGTGATACCCAGTTAAACCAACTGGAAGTCAATTAAATGCTACTTTGATGTGTGCATTTGCCAAAACAATGTTGGACTCCGTAACTACACTTAGTTGAGCTGCAAAAGGCTTAGAACACCTAACATAACACATTTCTCACTCTGCTGTCTTTCTCCACTCTCCATGTTTCTGCTTGCAGTTATTGGTGCCACTGACCCTGTGATGTTTATTTTTCCCCCATAAAAATTATACTTGGACCAATCCTTCTGTGTTTGTTTGTGTACTTTGGTTGTCCTTTCAAACCATAGTTAGTCAAGTCAGCTGGCCACCAGTCCTGAACCTAACTCTGCTGGAGGTTTCTTTCTGTTTAAAGAGAGTTGTTCCTTTCCACAATCACCTTTGGACTTGTTCAGGATGGGGGATTATGCAGAAGTAAGATTTGATGCAATTTGCTGGCTTCCTTAAATAGACAATGTTTTACTAATAAAAAACAACTAACAACACTTCTACTTTTATACAGGTGCTTACAATGATGATAATCGGCCATTCTGTGTAATTGAGTCACTGTGCCTGGCTGATATGACCCTTCTAAATTGTTTTGAAGTAATTATTGTAAAATATTTGTACAACAGAGGAAGGAGCAGGTGTTTTTAAGTTGCACACAACAGGTTTGTTTAAAACCAGTTTTCTTTGCCTTGATTTATCATTTTTGTTGTTTAAAACATTTGCTGACCAATGTGTGTATGATTGTGTGTGTATTATTCCGTACCTGCACAGCAAATATGCCACACACTCCAATAATACAGAGGATGTTAAAGACAGCAGAGCCCACAATGGTCCCGACACCAACGTCGCCCTTGGTGATGAACACTCCTGTTCAACAAGAGAAGAAAAACACAGTGAAATTACATATAATTCACAACGTACAGATTTTAGGAGTAAACGGTCATCCTGAAATCCTTGAAGTACTACATTACTGATACAATAAGCTGTTGGGTGGCTAGTGACTGTCCCCCATATGGTGTTTCAATGAATTCAGTAAATGTTTGCTAAATGGAACTGTTAGAAGTGTTAGTGCTTCTCACCAATAACAGAGGTGAACAGTTCAGGTGCAGAACTGCCTGCTGCCATGAAGGTGGCTCCAGCAACATCCTCACTCAAGTGAAGGTTCTGGTGGATGGGGAGGAAGTGAGGATGGTTTTCTCAACAGACATCTATCACACATCATTGAAAGTTCCTGATGATTTCTTACCTCACAAATTTTTTCTAGTGAGGGGACAAAGTAGTCATCACACACCAAAGCCAGAGCATAGAACATGTAAACTGCCTGCAGACCAACATATGCACAATCAGCACATTCCAACGACTCAAAAAGTCAGTGGGTTCAGGGTTTTCTATCAACACTTCTGCTTCCCTGATACTTTAATCTTAAAACTGGGAACTCATGGGTCATTTTCAAGTTCTAGTTCAAGTAGGTTTTATTATCATTCGCATCACACATTGTACATGAGGTGGAATGAAATTGTATACACAGGGTCCCAGTTAAATCCAACAAAGTAAAATGTGATGGACTTGCGACCTGTCCAGGGTGTCCCCCGCCTCTCGCACTGTGACTGCTGGATATGGGCACCAGTGACCCCCATGACCCGAAAAGGAAGAAATGGGTAAAGATAATGAACCTATGGATGGCTGAATGGATGAAACTATAATTAGGATCTAAGAAATATGCTAAACACTAATAGTGCAAAAACAATATGCCAAATCTGACCGTGGACCCCAGTTCATCTCCCAGGTACGAAAGGCTATTTGTCACACATTGGGTGCAACCCCCAGTCTCTCTTATGGATACCGTCCTCAATCTAACGACGAGTCTGAACAATGCAATCAGGAGCTCACTCCTGAATATGTCAGAACTCAGCTTATCTCTGACAAACCAAGCGCCCGTCCCCATTTTGTTACAATCAATTTTTTTCTTACTTTTGCATCTTTTTTTATGTATTTCCTTATGCATTCCTTTATGCATTTCCTTCCTCTCTTTTGGCAAAATAACTTTATGGGGGGAGTAGTGGCACAGAGGCTAGAGAAGGTGGGCCTGTGATCAGAAGGTCACCGGTTAGACTCAACAGACTGACATCAAAATGTGGATAGGAAAAGTGAAGCACCCACATCTGCATTTGCCTCACCCTGGGTCCCTGAGCAAGGAAGGCCCTTAACAATCCCCTCACAATATATGTTACCCCAGGCACCCTAAAGGGCAGCTCTCTACTCCCCACAGATGGCTGTAGTAGCTCGATGGTCTGTGGCTGTGTCAAGAAGGGCATTCGGAGTAAAAAAAAAAACTATTGCCAACTCTTTATGCAAATCAGTTCATTGTGATGACACCTGAGGAAATGAGAAGCCGAAAGAAGAAAGAAAAAAAAAATGTAGTGACTTTATGGAACACAGGATAATTGTGTTTAATTGAATAGTTTGTAAAAACAAACAAACAAACAAAAAACTTTACTAGCTTATTTGATGGTTACAGAGTTGTTCAACAACATTTTTTTTACTGTGCCTTTAAATTTAAAATTGAATAATGCATAATTGAAATTGGTGGTTTGTTGACAAAGTTGGTAGCTGTTGCTTCTCAATAAGAAGATTATCAGATCAATCTTGGCCAGAGATCTTTCTGGGTGGAACTTGTATGTTCTCTCTGTGCATGCTTGGATTTTCTCTTGTCTGCGTACTTTGGTTTTCTCCCATAGACCAAAAACATGCATCTTAAGCTAACTGGTAACGCTAAATAATTTCTAGGTGTGAGTGAGAGTGTGAATGGTTGTTTCTCTTCATGTGTCCCTGTGATGGACTTGCAACCAGTCCAGGGTGTACCCTACCTCTCGCACAGTGACTACTGGACATGGGAACCAACAACCAGGAAAAGAAGAAACGGTAAATATAATGCATTGGAATAACTGAATCATTTTAAAACCTTTTTTAACACTCCTGCTGCCCTGTGGTCAAAATAAATCACAAGGCCAAAGTTTTAAGACTGAAGCCTCATGGGTTATTTTGATCCAAGGAGCTCAGGAGGGTAAAACTTACTAAATGAATAAGAAACATCTCACTGCAAAAGATGGTAGTACTGCCTCTTGTTCACTGATTTCTACTGTCACAATGACTATGTTCCTACTGTCAATCAACAGCCTTTTACTAGGACAGAATGATGTAATTTATTTAAGTCAGACTTGCTATAAAAAGGACTGTATGTACTCTCAACACATGTGTAGAAAGCTGCAGGTGACACTCACGCAGAGAACATGCAGGCCCACAGCTCCCTCAGCGCGCTCTTGATTAGTGAAGTAATCTCTGGGGAACTCATGGATAGCTGCAAAAACAAACAAAAAAAAAAACATGCACAGATGAAAGGACTCAAAGTGAACCTAGAACTGCAAGCAGTTATTACCAGGGTCCAAGCCACCTGAAGCATGCTGACCATGGCACATGTCACCCCCAGCACCCTGTTGGTCTTGTGTATGACAGATCTGTGGCATGATGGCTGCATTTATTAAGTGTATTTGAAACCTAAAGTCTCAGGAGCTTTCTGTGCCCATGTATGTGTATACAATCAGTGGCTGTTTCTGATATGGGTGACATAGGCAGCTGCCCAGTGCGACATCTCAATTATCGTGTCAAGCAACGAGCGGCTGGCCCCACCCCCCATCCTGCCCCTCAAAGAATAAATAAATAAAATAGTGCCAGTATCCAGGATGACAACAGAGAGGAAGGGTGTAGTTCATGTAGTTTACAGTTTGGTTAATATGTTTTTAATAGTGTGTTCAGTTTTCTTGTCAGTGTTTGTGTGACATACAGTTTGTGGTGTTGAATAAAAAAAATAAAATTAAACCTGATGTCTTCATTTTCAACTTTAATAACATGCAATGTGTTTCACATCATCAACAGTTGACTTGCATAATGTGCAGATAGCTTCATTTAGCTTGATTATGTCTCCCACCACTATTATTGTTGTTAAACTGTTATTATTTAGCACATTTAGTATGGTTATAGTCCAGCATGACACGTTAAATATACGCCTGCCTCGTTCAATAAATATCGATATTAAAACTGGATACGGCCGACGTCTCTTCCCAACACAGAAGTCGGTCACAGCAGCTACATTCTGGCATAGATTAGATTAACTATGAGACCCAAAATATTCCATCAGTCATTGCACAGAAAGCAGGATGTTAAACTCCGTACGATTGTTGTTGATAGAAATATTCTGTCGCTCCACACGTGTGTGAAATATACGCCTATAGTGCACATGTGCTTTCACACCTCTGCGGGAGCTGTGCACATAACAGCAGGCGGCCGCCTCGAAAACCTCCACTCTGAGAGGTGGGTTGAGAAACCTCTGGATTCAAAGTGGGGTGTGGGGTGGTAGTGTCATACAAATGAACAGCCAAACCACAGAGAGAAAGGTGTGTTTCAGTCAAAATACGTGCCGTGTAAACTGCCTCTTAGCCTCATCACACCCGGGCACTCACAGAGCTGCCCAGTACACGTCTCTCTTGGGGACTGGGTCCTCGTGACTCAATGAGACTACCTGTATAAACAAAGGTTAAAAAAAATCTGACCAATGAAATTACTGAACAGGTCACAGTAGACCAAATGGAAATGAAATGGAGAGGGGAGAGCAGGGAGGGGAGGAGAGAATGGAGAGGGGGGGTTTCTCTGAATGCGCAGAAGTTCCATAGTTGCCAAGTCCACTTATTATAAGAGACTTTGGGCTTGTTTTATTCTAAAGTCGCTTGCAAATCTTGTGAGTCACGTGTTGCGTTTTTTTTGGGCTTGTTTTGAATGTGAAGTTGCTTATTTGGGCTTGACTTTCTTTCTGAGTGAAACTAGTTGATTATCTCCCAGCTCCGCACAATAAAGCACAAGACGAGTGGTAGTAGGTAGTTTGTCTTTTCCACACCCCCATTTCCTGTTTATCGTTCCCACCCAAGTTGATGAAGCGACAGGCGCACACATTAGTCATACACCAAACAGTCATACTGTGGCTGACCACTAGGGGGCTCTACACACATGCAGAGGTCAGGATGTTTAGTTTTTAAAAAATATGTAGAAAAAAACCCATATGCAAAATGCATTTTTTTTTTATCAGAGCTTAAAAGTATGTTATTCAAAAGGTTTAGCACGATTTTGTTGTTGTTTATGTGTAATGCCATAAAAAATGTATGTTTATACTGTTTAAAAATGGCCACTGTTTTACACAATGTGGTGGGTTGCCAGTAGGGCTTGTTTTGGGCTTGTTCTCATAGAGCTGGTTGCTTGTTTCTAGTGCGAGATCTGGCAACACTGCACAGAACATTTGAGTCTCACATGCTCACAGAGCAACTTTTGCTCCACGGAGCAGGAGGACAGATTGTGCAGGAGGAAGATGAAGTTAGCAATCAATGACTTCCTGGTAGGCTACTGTATTCTTTTTTTTAAACCAGCCGTGTTACTGGCACTGTCCAGAAAAAAACAATTTACTGTACATATTTGAGTATGTTACTGGTACATAGCATGGTGTAGCATTCTGCTGTGGTTGACTGCCAGTCATATGGCCTCAGGGAGGGATTATGGGTAAAATTTATGTTCAATGTTAATCATTTCGGTTAGCTGTTTCGGTTAGCAGCACAGTGGCACAATTGGTAGAGCTGTTGCCTCTCAATGAGAAGGTTGTCGTCCTGTGTGATATCAGAAGCCATTCACAAGTTGAACTGTCCTGCATCTCCATTACATCATGTGTTTCTTGTTCATATACCATGTGCACTAGTTCAATGGTTCAAGTTCAAGTATCTTTATTGTCATTCACATCGCATGTTGTACATGAGGTGGAATGAAATTGTGTACTCAGGGTCCCAGTTCCACCCAAAAATAGCAAAAAAAGAAAGTATAAAAAGAAAGTATTAGGATCTAAGATATAAACTAAGATATAAGCTAAAGAACACTAAAAAATATGCTAAAATATCTAATTCTAAACATTAATAATGTAAAATAATATGGTATATTACAGTAAACAGCAGCCTGAACATAAGTCTGTAGTGAGTAGATGGGTATGAATAAAAACAGCAGCATGAGATAATCAGCAGCACGAGATAATCAGCAGCACAGATCAGTCACATATCACCAATTAAAATGGTATCACAGTGATTTTCTTTTTTCCCCTTAGTTTCAGGGTAGAAGCTGTTCCTCAGTCTAGTTGTTCTACATTTATTGCTTCGCAACCTTAGCACCAGCCCACTCTGCATATTGGGATTGTGATTTGCTTGGCTCACTGTGTGCAAGCGATTTGAACACTGAACAGGTCTGCATGCTATTCCCTTGCTGTGTGCCTGTTTGCTGCATGTGTACACTTGAGTAACATGAAGACAAGCCAATGAGCATTCTCACTCCCACAGTCGAGATCTTGTGAGTCAGGCAGCACGAGCGTCATCCATGCAGCCCGAGCACAACACGCACATAGGAACTGACAGGAGTACAGAGGATATAAAAGAGGCAGAGGAGAGGGAAAATATTTAGAAAGTTTAAAAGATTCGTGGTCTGACATGGAGTGGAGATGCCAGCGAGGAAATGAGAAAAAAGGATGCGACAAGATAAAAGACTTAATGAAAAGGAAAACCTTTAACTCAAATTTATCCTCCTTTAAAAATAAAAAAATGTAGTAAGACCTTTCAGCCTGAAGCTCCATATATTTCTGTGGCTTCCAGGATGATACTTTGAGTGACAAGATGTTCTGACACTACAACAAAAATAAAATGCAGTATTTTATGTGGTTTCAACAAAGTTCAGTCAGGTCCTCTGGACGGTTTCAATTTTATTGAAATGTTTCGTCTTTCATCCAAAAGACTTCATCAGTCTGAGTCACAACCAACTCAGTCTTATACAGTAAATAAGCAGTTTCACATAGTGGGCCAACCAGTTTGATCGTGCTAAGATGGTTTCTGGACTGAGCTTGTTGTGGCTCCTCGGACTGATCAAGTCTTAGATGAAAGACAAAACGTTTAAACAAAAAGAAACCATCCAGATGGCCTGATTTAACTTTGCTGGATTTTTTATCTGGATTATTGAGTATGGACTTTGATCTTTTATGTGCTTCTTCTTTGTTGTTGTTGTTGCAAACCTGGTAAATGTGTGTTAGCTTTACACAGAAGTTACTGTTAAATAGCTAGTATTCACTGTCTGATGCTCTAGGCTTCTTTTTGACAGTTTGGAACCTCTCTGTCTTAATTTGATACATTGTTGAAAATGTGTTGTTTTCCCATCTTTATACTGCATTGGAGTAATATTAGAGAATGCACTACATAAAACAGAAAAACCACATGGCACACGAGCCAAGCTAAAAAAACAGACAGTCAATGATTTCTACCAATGGCATGTGTTTGTAAGGTTCTCTTCTTCAACTTGACCTTTCCCCACAGCTGTTGTTGTACAGCATGTACGTTATGGCTGCCCTCTACATTAAAGCTTCTGTTAAGAGCTTAAAGAGCTTATCACTTGAAACAATGAATACAAGCTTTCATCCATGTTCAGGATTAAACTATGTTACTACGTGTGGTTAATGGTTCATCCAGCATCATATCTGTAGCCTGCTGACATCCGAATATTAAACTGCTCTAATCTTGTTAAATATACTGAGGGGGAAGCAGGATACAATAAAAGCCTTACATAATCTTGATGTAGACAAGAAGCAACATAATTCAAAGTAGCTTCTTTATTAATGCTGTTGTATAAATGTATGATTTGCTGCTGGCAGATTCTTTAAAGGTTTTCAGATTAAGGAAATGCTCAACAGACGGGCCGCGGAGGGTGGCACGGTGATCGGGTCTGGCAGGATGGTTTGATAAAACCCACCGCTCTCAAAGCCGCTCCAGTCCATTGGGGATTTGATGAGACCTACCTATTACTTTATTTTTATTTTTGATTATTTAAAAAAATACAAAGAAGAAGGCATGACCCATGTGTGGTTATCAAACCCACAAACTTCTGATTTCAGGATGGTTTAACCACAGACCTACCACAGCCACGGACATACAGGAGTCACGTTGTAAATTACATAAGGTCCTGCCATGTTGGTGTAAGTGTCCAGTATTTTGTCTCTCCACTGTCCGTCCGTCCGTCCATCCATCCGTCCATCCATCCATCCATCCATCCATCCATCCATCCATCCATCCATCCTTTATCTTTTACCTGTTTCTTCCTTTTTGGGTCACGGCAGTCACTGGTGCTTAGTGAGAGGTGGGGTACACCTGGGCAGGTCTCTAGTCCATCAGGGGGATACGTAGAAACAAACAAGACAATAAACAACAACCATTCTCTCTCTCATTCACACCTAGTGCA